CGGTCGCTACGACGGGCTGGTGGGGATGTTTGATCCCAAGGGACGGAAGGTGCCCTGCGTGGGGGTCAGCATCGGGATCGAGCGGATCTTCTCCATCCTAGAGCAGAGATTGGAGGTAGGTGCTGCAGGTGCTCAACTAAGCATGGAAAAAGAGCAAGCATTTAGATTTTCCCCATGAACCCCCAGTCCTTGAAGTGTCTTCCTTGCTGCTGTCTTTGATGGAGAAGCCAGCCAGGCCTCTATTGTGCTGTGCAGCAGGAGTCAGAACCAGAACATAATCTCCAATTTTCTCTGGCTTGGAAGATGATCTCTGGGGCTGCCACTGGAGGCAAGACCCCTCTTCCAGCAGCCCTCAGGCGTGGCTGGTTCAGCCGCAGCTGGACAGGGCACTTTAGTCCTCAGCAGTACCATGTACCCAGGTCAGGTGCCTTAGTGATCCCCCCTGCATTAGGCATCCGTGTGAACCCGCGTCCTCCTTGGCGAGGCAGCACTGCTCGGCAAGGCTGGCAGGGAGACGGCAGCCTTGCACATCTACTCGTCGTGCCCGAGGCACTACAGAGACCAGAACGGGATCGGATGTCCCAGGGCAGGGAGCGTGGTGCCTCTGGGGGTTTCCCAGCCACCTTTTTCCTGTTTCCCCCTCCTCAGAGTTACTGTACCAACGTGTTGTCCTTCGTCCCAATCAGTGGGTGTTAAATAGGTTTTTGTGGGCTCCCAAAACAGTGCTGCACATGTCCCTCCCCCAGAGGCCTGTTGTGGGAAGTTCTCTCTTGGCAGCCAGACACAACTGGGATTTCTAAGCAGAAACTTGATTTATTCTTCCCCCCCACCACCTCCAGTCCTGGATAGGGTTGTTCCTAGGCAGGTGACCTTTTAAAGGCTTCACCCTTCAGCAAAAGCAGCAGCAGGAAAATGCCACTTTGAGTATCCAGCATCTGCCACGGGAGCAGGTGGCTCCTGACAGTACTGGAGCATCTCAGCTTGCTGCTGGTTAATCTAACCCATAGTTACCAGCGCAGCTGTGGAGGAGGCAGCTGCCTCTGTCCAGCTTCTGCTGGGCTCGCTGCTCCTGAGCTGCTTGGAGCAGATCTCTGGGAGGCCTTTGGGTGTGGAGGAACAGTCGCTAGGCAGAAGCTGGCAGGGAAATTGCTCATTCTGAGCACATCCACCAGTCTGTGCGCATCTGCAGTGCAGGAGGGAGGCTGTGCTAAGCCCCCATCATGGAACAACCGTAGATGAGATTCTGCTCTGGGATGGAGTCTGTGGGGCCTCCCTGACTCTCCTGAGATCATAGAATTGTTTGGGTTGGAAAAGCCCTTTAAGATCATCAAGTCCAACCGTTCCCCTACCCCTGCCATCCCACCACTAAACCCTGGCCCTCAGCACCATGTCTACCTGGCTTTTAAATCCCCCCAGGGTGGGGACTCGATGCCCCTCCAGCCCCTGACAGCCCTTTGGGGAAGAAATTGTTCCCCGTGGCCAACCTCACCCTGCCCTGGCACAACTTGAGGCCGTTTCCCCTCATCCCATCACCTCTTCCCTGGGAGCAGAGCCCGACTCCCCCCGGCTCCCCCCTCCTCTCAGGCAGTTGTAGGGAGCGATGAGGGCTCCCCTCAGCCTCCTCTGCTCCAGGCTGAACCCCCCCAGGTCCCCCCAGCTGCTCCCCAGCAGCCTGGGGCTCCAGACCCCTCCCCCGCTCCGCTCCCCTTTTCTCGTCACCCTC